GGGGGGGGGGGGGGGGGGGGGGGTCTGTGGTGGCCCGGGGGCAATATGAAGACTTCGGTATCAGACTTGGAGTATTCGAGGGCTCTTTGAAAAAAGAAACGGTATGTCCAGGAGCCGCCGAAGCTAATCTAAAAAATGAAGGCACGGACCCCCTAAATAACCTTTGGACCCCCCTAACTTTTGACAGGGGGGTCAGATCGACTTCCGGTTTGCGCCAAAAATTTTCTTTTTTTATGCTCTTTCTAAGGATGTATCACATGATGGGGGTTGCCATTTGAAATTTTTGAGTTACCCCCCGCCCCCCCTCCACCTGGGGGGGGTGAAGAACTGGAAAGTACCTCAAAAAGTTTCCCCTTCGATATGAGGAAGGACGCCACAAACCGCAAATCGATATCATAATTAGAACTAAAGTTATAGCCAGTGGTGCGTAACTTTTGAATAACCCTGTATAACCGTTATTAATCAAATAATTTCATAAATTGCGCGAATAACCTTTATAATTAGTTTATATAGTTATTTGTGATGATGTTTTAAGTCTAAAACCGTTATACTTCAGTTATACATCTTTTATATAAATACGCTCTTTATATATATTTTATATAACCGTTATACTTTGATTATACATACAAATACGCTCTTTATATAACGGTTATACTTCGTTTATATACTGTGAATTTAGCTCTGCTACTGGGGGTAGCAATGTAATTTCTGTCGGGGTCGAAAAATATGGGATTCATTTTGAAAGAAACGAAAAATCTTTTTTCAAAAATATAGGTCTAATGTGAAGTTTTGATTTTGCTGCCTTTTAAGGCCGTTATTTTGCGGAGTCATCGCTGAAGAAATTCTGTCTTTCAGGGCTAGGGATCCGACCGTTCAGTTGAATACGTGTTTTTTTTTCATTCTTTCTTTCTTTCTTTCTTTCTTTCTTTCTTTCTTTCTTTCTTTCTTTCTTTCTTTCTTTATCCTGTGAAACTTTTTGAATTTATGCGCTCCACTAATCTCAAAATTTAACCTTTCCCCTCAACCCTTTTTCCATGTAAATTTATGACTGTTACTGCCCTTTTTAGAGGTGTAAATGGCCTTAGATGTTAAAGCACCGCTTTAAAATAAAATTATTTTACTACTACTACTACTACTTTCTTTCTCTCTGTCTTTTATAAGAACAGGGTGCACATCTTTTGATTAGGGTGTCTAAAGTTAAAACTTAAGTGCCAGGTGTATTTTTATAAATGAATTAAAATGGAACTAATTGGTGGAAACAACTATTCAGTCTCAGATGGAGATGGGACGCTACTTTCTTTCTTACGTGGTCTTCGCAAATGAAACCATCCACTTCTTCATTTCAATGCGAATTTCGTTGATGCATCTCCAATTTTCAACTCCGATCATTTAAAGTACTCAACGAACATCAGCATTACTTGGCTGTCACTAGTCCAAAAACTTACATCATTTGATCACAAAAACTTGCCTTATTAAGTCTAAAAACTGTCTCAACTGCCCAGAAAAAAATGTTCGCAGATTTGGGTTGTACAATACTAATTCCTTTTTTGGAGTGCCTAGGGTAATTGAACCTAATATTTCCATTTTGCAGACTGCAACATTTATAAAAGAGGATGAAGCACTGACAAACACACTGTCTGCCACGGTGGAGTCCATTAAAAGTGAATGTGATGATTGTATGAATGAAGTGACTCCCATTATGAATACAGCAGTCGCAATGTTAAATGGACTTAACCCAGCAGATTTAACAGTTCTTAAAACCATAAAAAACCCGACCAAAGCTGTCAGAATGATCATGGAAGCTGTTTGCATACTGAAGGTTTTCTTTTATAATTTCATAATTTTTGGTAAAAATTACCTAGTACAGTGCTAATCCAAAGCGTAAGTTCTCCTACTTTATATCCTCCAAACTAAAATGAACAAATTGAGTATTAAGAAAAAGCGCATATAAGAAACAAGCCAACCCTTGTTAAAAGTGGAACATAAAGACTTTTTAGTCATAGCGACATCACTACCCACATAGCACAGAATCTTATGTCAATACTGATACATATTGTTGGATGTTGACATGATATCACCAACACTAATGCAGTATGATATTAAGATTGTCGGTTAAAAGGTATACCTACCGCGTCAGCATGAATATAACACTAATACCATCAATATATCAAACAACAGTATTGAGTCAATGCTGACGAGGTAAAAAAAAAATAACACGAAAAGAAATTAACACGAAAAAATGAAAAAAAAATAAAGGAAGAAAAAGAAGCCTAAGAAAACACGGTGTTAATCAAAGATATGATGAAAGTCGAGCCGCGCACTGATGCTATGCATGCTGTAACAGCCTTTATAGGCGTGATTTTAACCCGAAATACCATCAATTCCCTGTGGCTCAATGGCAGAGTACTGGGCTAGGAATTCCGCGGTTCGGGTTCAAATCCATCCGAGGGCGTCCGGGTATTTTACGCTACTAAACGTCGCAGGACATCAAGTAAGTGGATTATAATATTCAATACTTGTATACTTGTGTAATTCATGTCTCAAATGTAATACATGTGTAGTACTATGAAAATGACGGTCATCGTCTGAACTTTCATATCTACCTGACAGAGTGCGCTGAGTGTACAGACGTGTCAGTGTCAAGGTAGTAATGCATACATATTGTCGGTGTCCTGCAGTGTTCTGATGACCTTGTCATAACCCTGATTTCCATATGACATCAACTTTTTCGGCCAATACCGTAACAATATTTTGACAGCTCCAAATCAGTAACTAATAAATACTGGCATAGTCTTGATATAATATTAAATCAGGATACATCAGCATTATATAAATACTGACACTACTGACGTGTCAGTACTATTGTAGTATTATATCAATATTCTGTGCTATGTGGATATGCTTTGTGAAACGTATTGTCTCAATGCCGGTCATTATGACGTCATAATGTCAGAAATCGTCATTGTGATGTCATTATGACGATTATTGAGACTCAGTGTTTCATAAAGCATAATTATGTCGCTATGACTTTCGATCACTGTAATGTTGCTATGGTGTGAGATCATTGTGATGTCATTGTACCTCCATCCATCAGAGTGATATAGCTGATTTTAAGTAAAAAAAAAAAACAAAAATAGTGTATATCGTTCAGAAAATACACAAAAATGAACACCTCTCTGTATACCTTTTCATCCTTGAGTACCATCATTGTAATGATTACCTACAAAGTAAATTAGTCACAGTTATGATTACATCCACGATCATAGCATCATACCTCAGTCGTAAGAGTGTCAGACTGACTCTTACTTTGACTCTGTTTCAATCGTAACGACGGCCCGTAATTTTCGTGGTTATGACGATACCTCAATGACGATCGCCCGTGATTTCCGTGGTCATAACGATGTCACACTGATGGTCACTCTGACCCTGTTTTTATCATTACGATTTCATAGTGTTGGATTTGCTCTGTCAGAGTTGATCATAATAATGTCAGAGCGACGTCATCATGGCCATTGTGATGTTTCTACTGTGATATACTTGCTCGACATGGCAACAGTGTGTGGACGAGTAGGCGGGGGTCATAGGCAGTTAGACTAGCAGCAAGCCAACTTGTACCTCGATCATGACATCTCGTTATCAATAAAGCATGTATGTCCCGTGAACCCGTGTGTTATACTTCTTTACATGGCGCAGTCGGATATCTCTAGCATCAACATAGTGCGACTAGAATTAAATCGAGCTAGCAATCCCGTATTCAGTGAACTCTCGCAACCAAAGCCAATTACCTAACCTCACTCTTGATCAACAAGCCTCTCGTGCGCCCAAACCCCGTGTATTAGTGAAATTCATACTGAATGATACGGCTCTGTGATAAATCTTGTTTGTTTGTGACTCTTGTTCAGCACGTCTTGTTCGCGTGAAAATCTCTCTAGTGTATGAGCCCGAACCGCCACCAACAGACTTACTCCCGCGTTCTCAGGAACCATGGCAGTGGCCTACAACATCCCGGCGAAATTATCCCTCGATGGGAATCTTAGTGAAAATTGGAAGACCTTCAAGGAAGCCTTTAGGATATACCTACTTGCATCTGGGCTAGATGAAAATAATGATTCCAGGAAAATCGCAATATTCCTCAACTTCATAGGCGAAGAAGCCCTACGGGTTCATGAGACCATCAAGAAAGAAACAGATACAAAACTTGCAGAGGTCCTTCAGACATGGCAAGAGTACTGCAACCCTAAGAAGAACACTCTGCACTCTCGCTTTCTTTTTTATTCTCGCAACCAAAAAGAAGGGGAATCCATCAATTCATTCCACACAGACTTGAAAACACTGCTGATGGATTGTGCCTTCGATGATTCTGATAGCATGTTGCGTGATAGACTAGTACTTGGTTCAAATGATAAAGACATTAAAACCAAGTTAATCAAGAAAGGGGATCCATCCCTAAGTGACGTTGTAACAACCCTACGAGCAGCTGAACTTGCAGGTACCCAGGTCAGAGAGATCATATCACAGTCACCAACCGATGTCTCCACAGTTGACTCAGTTAAAACCTCCTACCAACCTGAACAAGAAACCTGCAAGAAGTGTGGCTACAAACACAGGACCCCAGACTATTGTCCAGCCAGCAACAAAACATGTGCCAAATGTCAAGGCCGAAATCATTTTGCCAAGGTATGCCGCTCGAAACAATCAAAGTATCAACCAGAAAGACCATCAAAGAAACAACCAAAAAAAGTGGACGAGGCCTGCATGAACTCTAGTGATGAAGATTCTGAAGAATACTTTTGTGGTTCAGTCACCCATGAAGCACCGCCTGAAGTCACCCGAACACAAGCATGGATGCAAACAGCAACTCTAGAAGACAGGATGCAAGTCAACTTCAAACTTGATCCGGGAGCTGACATCAACATTCTTCCAGTGCCATTGTACTCTCAACTGAAAGAACTCGCTCCGCTAACATTGCGCTGGTCCCCGTCGCGGGTACAAAGCTGGAACGGCTCCCAGACCCAAGTGAAAGGAACAGTAATCCTAAAAATTAAAATTGGCAACCGTGCCTCAGAAGAAAAATTTTATGTTGCAGGTAATGAACAATCAATTCCAATTCTGTCTAGGGACACCTGTACCAAATTTCAACTAGTTAAGCGCTTATCTGTAGATGAAATTATCTCCAATGAGTCAAAAGATCCACAATCAATCTTAAATTCCCAACTCCTAAAAGAAAAGGAAGCTATTATTTCAGAATTCAAAGATAGATTTCAGGGCGTAGGTAGAATTAATAAAGAATATTCAATCAAACTTAAGCCCAACTCACTCCCCTCCTCATATCCACCCCACAGAGTACCATTAAAAGTGCGACCCAAACTAGAAGAAGAACTGAATAGACTCCTGTCACTCGGAATAATTAGTAAAGTAGACAACCCGAATTCCTGGGTGAATCGGCTGGTGACCGTAGAAAAACCCAATGGAGACCTGAGAATATGCTTAGACCCAAAAGACCTTAATGAAGCAATTGTTAAAGAATATTGTTTAATACCCACTCTAGATGACTTTTCGTGTAAACTTAAAAGTGCAAAAATTTTTTGTGTTCTGGACCTCAAAGATTCATTCTGGCACATCCCACTAGATGAAGCCAGCTCAAATTTATGCACCTTCTCAACAATGTTTGGAACGTACAAGTTTTTAAGGCTCCCCTTTGGAGTAAATGTTGCCTCAGAAGTCTGCCAGAAATGCAACAATGAAATATTCGGAGGGATAGAAAACGTGTTAATCTGCATTGACGACATACTGATCTATGATACCTCAAAGGAAAAGGCCAAACAAACCCTGTTGAAAATCTTAAAAACAGCCCGAGAGCATGACATCAGATTCAATGTAAAAAAGTTCCAATACATGGTCGAGAGAGTGCATTACTGGGGTCAGGTATTTAGTAACGGCACTGTTCAGCCGGATGATGAATCAGTTCAAGCAATTCTTGACTACGACATGCCCTCTAGTAAAAAAGACCTGCAGCGCTTTTTAGGAATGATTAACTATTTAAGAGCATACATTCCCAACGTGGCAGAAATAACTGCTCCCCTCAGAGAACTGCTGAAAAAAGAAGTAATTTTTACATGGTTAAATGTTCACTCAGAAACAGTCAATAAACTCAAACAAATCATTATTAATCACCCAGTCCTTCAAACGTTTGATCCTGACAAACAAATAGTGATACAGGCAGACGCCAGCAAAAATGGAACAGGTTGTGTCCTCATGCAACAAGGGAAACCAGTTAGTTATGCTTCCAAAGCCCTATCTAGCACTGAAATTAGATACAGCCAAATAGAGAAGGAATTTTTATCAGTCTTGTATGCTTGTAAACGCTTTCACTCATTCATCTATGGTCAGAAAATCATTGTTCACACTGACCACAAGCCAATCGTGAAAGTAATGAAAAAAGACATCATAAGAATTCCATCCATTAGACTCCAAAGAATTAGGCTAAAATTAACCATCTATGACATGGATGTGCGATTCCTCCAAGGTTCAAAAATGCATATCGCAGACGCTCTCAGTAGAGCATGTTCAACCCGATCCCCTCATATAGACACAGACCCATCCTTAAATGAAATTGTGCACTCTTTGAACGTATCAGATGATCTTAGAATTCAACTCCAGAATGAATCTGACAAAGACCCAGCTCTGATCTCCTTGAAAATTCTAATCATAAATGGATGGCCGAGTTCAGAAACGAAAGTTCCAATCCCCTTAAAATTATTTTATCAATACAGAAATGTCCTCTCCATAGAGGAATCGCTCATATTTCTAGACAATAGA